TTGAAATACAATAATTTAAAGTGTAGCATCCATGAAGATTTTATTAATAACATATTTTGATGCATTAGTTGAATGTTTATTAATTTCTAGGCAAATTTACAAATATCACAGAAATAGGATTTTTAGGGTGTCCATTTATTCATTTAACAAATATTTATTAAATGCTTTCTTTTAGCCAGGAACTGTTCTAGTCATTGAGAAAATTGCAATGCATGAAAAAGACAAAATCCATGCCTTCATGAAGATTATTTTTCTAGCTACAAGAAACAAACAAAAAAACCACATTTTTAAAATATATAGAAAGATAGAAGGTGGTAAAGGCAATAGAGAAAACAATTTTTAAAATAAAAAAAAAAAAACAGGCCAGAAAAGGATATGGAATGTAGTCCAAGGGTGGAATTTTAACTAAGGTGGTCAGAGAAAGTCTGAGATTACACTTAAATAAAGATTCAAAGGAGGTGATGGTTAAACCATGTTGATATCAGGGAGAAGAACGTTCCAGCAATATGAATAGTATGTGCAAAGGCCCTGAGGTAAGACTTTGCCTGAGGCAATTAAGGAACAGCCAGAGGGCTGGTAAGATTGCAGTGGAGTGGGAAGGAGGTTGATGGCTAACAGGTAAGATCTGAGAAGTAAGAGGGAGACAACAAAGAATCAGTTGTAAGTCACTGTCAGAACTTGGGCTTTGACTCTAAATGATATGGGAAGCCATTGATGGCAGGTGGGGACTGGAAGGACATGTATGTTAGTGGCATACAAACAATTTATTTTCCCAACTCAGAAAAATGTAATAGTATGTATTTATAGCAATAACAATGATTTGGGCAAGACAAATCCTGAGTACACTTGAGTCTCTCCCACTTTCTTTTTACTAATACAGCAAAATTCTGGAGTGAAAGTTAGCCTGAATAACTGAAAAAGACAAAAAGAAGTATAGACTATTTCCAAACGAAATACGGTCATATTACCTTCACTGCATATAACAGTGACAACTAAGCTAACAGGAAGGCCTAGTAGGGGGTTTGCTTTACTAAAGAGTGATAAATCTAACTCATAAGTGTACCCTGAATATTAATCATAATAAGAAAAGGATAGGCAGTAGTGGGACACTGCCAGGGGAGAGTGTAGGGGAAACACATTACATCAATAGGGGTACCTGATCTCAAACCAGTAAAGTGGGAACCAAAGGAAGGCCCAAATATTACCTGTACCATGACCACTTATCTGCCTAATCCTGAATTGTACCCCGCATTTTTAAAATAAAAATTTTAAAAGAGTTACGAATCACTTCTACCTAGTCCACTGCTTATGGTTTTCTAAAATGCCTGAGATTTTGTTTTCCTGTGTCATTGGAATAATTAGCCCTTCAATTTTAGTAATTTGCTTGGTTGGCAGACCCTCTGTTCTATAGATGCTGAAAAGGTTAAGCTTTAATCCAACCCCTGTCCAAATGGTGACAAATTCTGAATCAGTGAAATTCAGTGAATGAAAATTTTCTGTAGTATTATTGTTGTTATCCTCATCTTACAGATATGAAAACTGAGAAGCCAAGAGATGAACTGACTTGTCCAGAATCATATACATCATAACTGGCAAGGTCAAGATTAGAGCCAAAGTAGTCTGTTTTTGTTTTTGTTTCTGTTTTTTCACCTTAACCACTTCATGTGCTTTATATACCAATGTATAGTCAGGCACATGGAAATTCTATAGCCTAGATCAGTCCTAGTAATACTCACTGCTTAGATGATGATGCTGAATATGTGATTTGCAGTCATAACACTAGATGTTGATATGACTCCCAGATTACTTTCAACTGCGCGACCACATTTAGCCTCACCTTCTTTGTTTGTAAAATGGAGATGAGAATGTTTATCTAACAGGGTTGTTGCAGGGATTAGTTGAGATAATATATATGCAAGTACCTGGAGCCTGGCAAATATTAGCTTATGTTTCAAAATCCTTTTGGATAACCTACCGTGAATTAGCTGCCCATTAATATCAGGGCAATAATATGTCCCCAAAGGATATACATTTGTAAATTCATTGTCAGGATTAGAAAATTATGGGTTTGCCCTGTATCACTCATACTTCTTTGTATATTTCATCTTTCAACCAAGGGCATACAATTAGTGGGCAGAGTTTAATTGTGATGGCTTGATCATATAGCAAAGAAACTAGTGTCCTTGATCTTCAGCAGCATCAACTGAGCCAACTGGCATAATGCCAAAGTGGTTGGCAAAGCTAGGATCAGTGAATGCCATGTTTAGTTCTTCAAGACAGTGTAACCTCCCTCTTTTTAGCTACCCATTATTTTATCCTTTTTAAAGGAACAGATCCTAAAAGTAAAATCAGTAACATTTGATATATCCATGTCTGATACCCTGAGTTTGGCTGTCAGTAGCATATCCCAGCTTCCAACTCAGAACAATAAAAGAATCATTAATAGCAAAAAATAAAGAAAGAAAACAGTGTGACTGTCATTTGCACTTCTTTGTAACAGTCTAGACATACTGTATGGGGTGTTATTCAATGTGATAATTGGTAAGTATATCTTTGCCCATGTACTGGGCTTACCTATGAATTATAATATTGGGTTTGCATGCCATTATTGGTCTGCTTGCCTGCAGTCTTTCCAGATTCAACAAGAGCCTTGCTGTTCTCTCAGAAAACAGAGGTCTTAGCGTCCCCGCCCTGTAAAATAGGTTATTATTAAATATAAAACATTATCTTGAAATCGGTTGCACATAACTAGATGAGAATGTGAGGGCCAATTTTGAATTGGCTCTATGTTTAGTTTTAGGATCCAGTTTTAAAGATCATTTGGCATTAGTATTTACTTAATATCCATTTCTTTTCAAAAATAAGTTGGAATTGTGTGGTTGACAGGTTGAAACCTGTGAATGCCCAATATGATTATTACTAGTACATTTGTTAATATTTGCCAGGCATGACACTAGGTACTTTCACATATATTATCTTAATAATGACAAATTCACTATTAAATAATGTAGAAGTAACTGCCCATTTGCAAAGCAGTTTTTCATTGTTTATGCACCAATCCAGACATCGGAGAAATCTTTTAATCAGCCTGTTATTTTTGCCAGATTTTCAGTGCATCCAGATGTTTAATTAGCAGAGTGAAGAGATAATGTGCTAATAAGAGGCTGAGAACAACGTATTGAAGGGAGAAGTGGTAGTGACATCTCGAATCTACAGAGAATCTGTTAATATAATTTGCTGAATGACGGGAGAAAGAGGAGTAGAAGGGAACTTCTTACTGAAACAAATCCACACTAAAAAGTTAGTCATCAGTGAAAAAGAAATATGTATACAGAGAAATAGAAATCAGGGGCAAAAATACATTGAACAAAACAGGAAAGGCAAGAAAGAAGCAAACTGCATTTTAAATCAAAGTAGTGTCTATAGTACAGGGAATTTGAAAGGACCACATGTGGGGAAAAATATTTCCTGGATGCCCTAGGGCTGCTGTTCCAAACGCCTACTCTCTTGGTGTTCCTGGCTTTCATTGCCCCCAGCTGTGGTATACACACACACACACACACACACACACACACACACACACACACACACACACACACCCCGCCTTTAGCTCCACTGGTGCAGCCATGTGGGGGAAGAGAGCAAGCAAAGGAGCTACAGGAAGCCAGAGCCAGTAACTTGCTGCAGCAGCCTTAAGGAGACGGCGATATATCTGAACCTTCCTATTCCACTGCAATCCAAGATTAGCATCTTCATATTTATTCTTGTTTAACAACTGAATTAGAGTCACTTGCCTGCCTGCTTTAAGGACCTTGGAAGGACTTTAATTTTTTTGCTTATTGGGCGTGTAAGGAAGTGTTCATATGCTCCGTTAATCACTCCTTTGTGCATGTAACTTAGCACTTCTTACATTTTCGCTAGTATAAGAGTCAGCTGTATATAAACCTGTTTCTTCAACTAAGCCCTGAGCTCCTAAAAACAAAAGAAAGGCCTTCTTATCTTTTACCTCCCCAAAAACTTAACAGTATTTTACACCTACTAGATTCTCAATCATCTCCCCTTCTCATGGAACCCTTGTGCCCCCACAACATTCCTCTACCAAAGAATGAAGCCTTTATGTGAGTTTCTTTCTTGATACAACATTGGATTCAAGAGTCTAGAACAAATGGTGAAGGCCCAGAAAATGAAACAGAGAGCGACTCATCACATTCCAGTGTCTCAGGTTTAGAAGTAATTGTATTTTTTTAGAAAACTGCTGTTAGGCATAAGTAGACTCTAGTTGCTTCTACAAATTCCTAAAAAAGTGGTTCTGCAACTTGTGTGCTTCAGAATCACCCATAATCACTCAGATTAAGTGTGCATAATATTGGGCTCTGTAGAAATTCTGATTCAGTAGGTGGAGCTCAAGAATATGCAAATTTCGTAAGCTCCCCAGGTAATTGACTACATATTTGAAAATCACTGCCCTAGATACTTTTGTCACCGTGAGAATTCCAACCTCCATTTTGAGAATTACTAGTAGACAAAAATACCGGAAGAATTTTTTTAAAAATACAAACTCGCATGGCAAATACTTGTTAATTGGGTGCTCATAGATGTACTAGGTGTCATTACAAGAAATCATTGCTATTCTGAAGGAATGGTCTCACTGAGGAAGAAGAAAACTTCCAAAGAGTGATACCTAATAGAATACTCTACCCAAAAGCTAAATTATAAATTATAAGTATGTAAACTATATCCTACAGCTGATAAGTGCTCAAGAATTTAGGAAAGAAAGATTGATAAACAAAATAGCTTGAATTTCTCTGAGGTGCCGTATGAACTCAGAGTGAGTGATAATTCATGAAAAACATGCAAATTTAACACATTCTAAACTCAGAATATGGTAGATTATCTTTGGCTATATTTTAGATTTTTCTCCATTTATAAATATTTTAAACTATGCTCTTTCTGTTAAAGCTAAATATTAATTTGGTTTGGGGTTTTGTTTTGTTTTTCAGATGGTTTGACTGATTGTGTGGACCCTGATTGTTGTCAACAAAGCAACTGTTATGTAAGTCCTCTTTGTCAGGGCTCACCAGATCCTCTTGACCTCATTCAGCAAAGCCAACCTCTCTTCTCTCAGCATACTTCAAGACTTTTCTATGATCGAATCAAATTCCTCATTGGCAAGGACAGTACTCATGTCATTTCTCCAGAGATTTCATTCGACAGCAGGTATATATGTATTTATTTTATTCTTTAGTGAACCATAATCATGTTTTTCCTTGACTCTGAAAAGAAGATACCTTCTAAACATCAGGTTACTTCCCATCATACACAATATACATTGATTTTTTTTTTTTTTTTTTTTGCTACTTCTCTGGAAAGCCTAAGCCCTTACTGATTAATTAAGGGAAAAGCTCATTTCTAGAGATTGTGTATTGTAAAAGTTATGTGTGTGTGTGTGTGTGTGTGTGTGTGTGTGTGTGTGTGTGTGTGTGTGTGTTGATGTATGTATATGCATAAACCTATATGGCTTTTTAATAACAAAGGCAGTAGGGAAATATAATTTGTGAATATATTGTTTAGCTTCTGGATTGAGTCCTTTAAAAAGTTGTTGAGTTTCAAAAGCTATATTTTAAGTTTTATTTTATGATGAAAAATATTTCCATATGAAAGGGTTGGATGAATTTGACATCTTAATGTGAAATGCAAGACTTGTGAAAATCTGTCTTCTAGGAAAGCTCAAGTGCATAAATTGTCACTTAAGGCCTAAGACCAAAGTCTAACCCATTGAGCAAAGAAATGTTTAAAAATCAGCTTACTTATATGAAGTGTAATAACATGAACTTACTCATTGGTATTCTCTGCTTTATCTTCATCAATGATATAATTTACTAATTGACACTAGACATTGGTACATCACTAAAGTCAACATTTCCCAGTTCAGAAATGTTCTTCTCTGTTCATTCCACAAGTGATATCACTGGCTTTCTAGACTATCACAGACAGAATTTTTTTTTAATCCTAGTAAGTATTTGTCCAGGAGCCTCTGTCTACATCCCACTCACTCACTTGCAGCCTATTGGGAGTTATCAATCCCCAGGAATAACTTGGTCAACAGTTAAATTTTTTTTTAATTTTATTTTATTTTAAAGTTGTGGGATATAAGTCAGGATTGAATACATAAGTGGTTCAGGTACAAGTGAAGTTTTGGACCTCCCATTGGACCTCACTTCACCTGGATTAGGATCAGGCACCCCATTGATGTTATATGCCCCCCATTCCCCTGGCAGTATCCTGCTACTGCCAATCCCTTTTTTGTATTATTATGATAGGTATTCAGGGTCCACTTATGAGTGAGAACACGCGATCTCTGTTCTTTGTTTCTGTGATAGATCACTAGGTATGATAGACTCCAAGTGGGAATTTACATTATTCACAAGAGTTTATATTTATACCAATCTACAATTAATTATACTCTAAGAAAATTACAACTCTATCTTGACCTATACACAGTAGAAAAAGAATTTTAAGAAATATGCATGGAAATTTCAAATACTCAACTATCTTCACTTTAGTTGTATACTAGAACTATTATTGAAACTTAAAACTTTATTTTTATTATTGTGTAGTTTTGACTCTTTAGGTCTCTGACAGAACCTAAAACCTAAATGGCAATACGTCAAAACAAAAGGGCTTTTCTGTCAGGGGATCTAGTCAAAGTTTGCCTTCTTCTAAGAGATTTAGTCATCCTCATTTTGAAGTGCTCCTCCCAGCTCAATTACAACTATGGGATATTATTTATTATACACAAGAGAAACAAAAAGAATAAAAAAGCAGCCATTATTGCCATTTTCCTATTTAAGGTAAGAGATAAGTCATCAACTCTGTAGCTTTCTCCACACTTAGAGAGAAGTCCGTACAAAAAAAAAAAGAAAAGAAAAAGTGAAAGAAATAACAACCTCCATGACATGGAGATGTGCTAAATGACTCACTGAATTTAAGTAAGGGGAGAAAGTCAGGACCTGAGAGACACAAGAGACAAGCCATTGTGACCTAGAGCAGAGCATTTGAGCAATAAACTTAGAAATGTCAGGACAAACTGAAACCCCTGTGGTTCAGCTTCATGCTTCAGCAGTATTTGCCAGCCACTCAGAGTGAACAAGCCTATTACTTGTGGTGGTTAATGCCCTTCTCCTCCTTCTGATTTGATTGAGTTTTCCTCATTCTTTTGTAAAATGCTCCAAGTTATCATTTGGCTCTGCAAGTCATATTTAAATTCAGAACGATGGGTCTCCTTCATCCAGTGGTCTCAGCTATTACAGACATATCCATTCTGTCAGAAAAGGCACAGGCCTTTCCCAAGGAAAGTAGCTAAGGACAAGCAGTCTACATCTCCTTTGAAAAAAAATAAACACATGCATTTTTATTTGGGATATCTTTGGATAGTAGAAACCCAACTCTGAATACACACACACACACACACACACACACACACACACAACAGTTACACTCTTTTACACTTATATAGTACTTTTTAGTTTAAAAAGCACCATACATTATTTCATTTTATCCTCACATTATCCCTGTGAAGTGGGTACTTGTATTAAATGCACTTTATATATGAGGAAACTGAGGTTCAGAGAGTTGAAATAACTTGCCCCAAATCACACAGTCAGCAAACTTGCACTGTAACGAATCCTGTAACCTTCCCATCACACCATAGCTGCCCCGTTTCAATATGTCCTTAAATAAGCCTGGTGACGTGGACCAAATTTATACTAGGTAAATGATATCTGGGTCAGCACAAGAAAGCTAGAAACCAAATGATTTTTAAAAATCCATTTCAATTTAATATATTCCAATGACATCATCTACAAACTTCAAATCAGTGCTAATGAATTTCTTTGTAGAAGAACACAATTAAGTGACTCATGAAATGAGCCTTTTGCTACATGTAAATTGTTGTTGAGCACTTGCTATATGTCATGTCTTATATTAAGCTTTTACATGTGTTATTTAATCCTCATAAAAACCCTATATGGTAGGTACTATTACTATCTCCACTTTTCAAATGAAAAAAACAGAAACTGAGATGTCAAGTAATAAGTGACTTGCCTGAGATCACAATTAATGAGTATCAGAGCCAGGATTTGAACTCAGGCTGATAGCCTGATCTCTAAGCCACTATGCTATGCCACTTTGGCTACTTGGAAAGCTGGACTGACTGACCCTGAAAAGACTTATAACTCTTATACATCCCTGACTGTGGATTTACTCTTCTCAGACAGATCTAGGACACATATGTGTGCCATAATCAGGTGAACCATGTTCCTTTTTTGCTTTTGCTGCATAATTGAGAGAGAGCTGGGTAGACAGGTGAAGAAAGTGTTGCTAAGGAGCTTGTTTACCTACTGGCAAAATATGACCCACACAGCTGACTTGCTGCTGAGTTCTGGCCACCATCAGAAGCCTTTGGAGCTAAAGAGAGTGGCAAACAGGTGATTAAATGTTCTAAGAACACACAAAGGTTAAATAACTGTTCATCCTTGTGCATTTGAGGGAGACTAGACTTTCCTGTTCTGAGTTTGCTGCACTGGCATGTGAGTGCACATGGACTGTGCTCCTTCTGTAGCCCATGATGGTATAATGACAGCGTGAATATGCAGCCTGTCCACAGTTAAGATGAAGACCTTGGGCAGTCTCAACTGAGTTATCATTTTTCTCCTAAATGCATTTCACCCTATAGCCCAAGTTTCTTTTCTTCAATCTATTCCACACGTGACTACAAAGTAAACCACCTATTCTACATGCCCTGTATGACTTATTACTTTTTAATAATGTAAATAGGTAAACAGGAGCATTATTGATCTTCAGTGTCTAAGCATTTAATCACTATTAATAATGTAAAAGGTTTTTATAAATATGTAAAAACAGGAGTACATTAAACTAAACAACAGCAGTAATTTGCAAAGCCAGACATTTAACTCGACATCACTAATGGAGAAGTGCATTTAAAAAGCAAAGTCCTACCAGGGCTAGCACAACCACTGACAACAGGGTCTGGCTAGACTCATTTGTTTGTTTGGTAACCATGAGAGGCTGATTCACCACATCAATCCATGTCAAGTGTCCATATCAGAGGTTGCTTAAAATCAGCCCACAAATGCATTTTGTTTGGCCTGACATTTAGAAACTAGGAAATCTAACATGAATATATCTTCCTTCCCTAGAAAATGTACACCACTTGGCAACCCTGGGCTCGTGGCCATGGCATAGGTGGTCTGGAGCTGAGAGCTAGCTGTCCCTCAGGATGGGATATGACGTGCCTCTCTAGCTCACCACTCACTGTTTTCATTACATGTGGCTCACTTCCTTCACTTCCAGTGTCATGGCTGGCCTTGCTGGCATTTTAGTTTGTGATCTCTGATCAACATAGTTTCTATAACTTTTCTAGAAGCGATCTTAAGTGTTTCTATTTCTTTTTTATCTTTTTCCCTGAGGCCATTTACATATCCAATATTATCATTTCACTTCGTTTTTTGAACCTTTACTATGTTGGTTTAAAAAGAGAACAATGATGACTGAACGAGAAATAGAAATCACATTAATGGAAAAACATTTCTACTCTTAGTTCGCTGGAGTATCTGGATATGCCTCATGAATAAGTTGGTGTACACTCTGCCTCATACCTCAGGCTAATAATCTTCTCTGGGGCAGTGCGTCAGTTCCCACCATAGTAGAAACAAAAAGCCCACTTTTTATGAGAAGAATATGTGTGCTGACAGGCATTTGATGATTATATTTATCACTCAGAGTAAGTTTTAAGAACTGTTTAAAGTTCTAGAAATGTGTAACAGTCCTGCTGAATACAATTGTGGTGGCCCCTTCTGCCCTCCTTGGTGGAATGCCTACTTTTAGTTGAAAAGTTCTATAACTGGGACCAAACTTCGTACAATACTAAGCACATACCAGAAGTATTAACAGACTAAAAGATGAAGAGGTTAAACAAGATGATAGATTTCATCTAGTTCTAACTTTCTATGAAGTTGCTGTATTTCAGTTTCTTAGTTCACACTGGGATAAGCTTGTTAGCTTTGAATTGTACTCATTGCTACATCTTAAGCTATGTGAGGACAAGGACCAAGTCTGATTTGTTCCCTCCTTATTTTGAATATTCATTGCTATGTGGCAAACTACTTCAAGTGATGCATGAGTCTGTGAGGCAGGCA